TCTCTCTCTCACTCATATCAATAAATGAAACAAAACTCTCTCTCTCTCTCTCTCTCTCTCTCTCTCTCTCTCTCTCTCTCTCTCTCTCTCTCTCTCTCTCTCTCTCTTTCCCTCTCTCTTATGCGCGCTCTTAGTTTTATTGCTTTGACTACCTTAGGGTTGTGTTCCCGCACCCATGCGGTAGACAATTGTAGATGGCTGTATTTATTATCTTTATATTTGTTGGTTAACCACCAGTACCTCCACTTTCTTAGGCCATTAACGCAGTGGCTGAATCGGCCTGTCGGGGGGCACTCATTTGAGGCAAAGGGGGCCTACGAATGCCGTATGTATCTTGCCACTTGCAATTACAAATAGAAGCAAAAGCGTTGTGCAATAGTAGGTAGTACTCGTTGGGCGAAAAAGAAGGCCTGAGATATAAAAAAAATGAGCCAAAGGGGGGTGGGACCCCCACCCCAATGATGAGCTCATCCTTTCATATCATCTCTCCTCACCCACATTCATGACCGTTGAACACAAAACTGCCCATAACAAAACTGGGCAGTTGAGGGGGGAGGAGCGGTGACCCGGGGAGGGGGTGGGGCTTGGCCCCTGGATGGTGCCTCCGCCACCGTGACCCGTGACTCCTGTGTGTCTCCAGTACTACCAGATTCACTTTCACACCACCGGTTGTGGGCCCACGTCCTCACGGTATGTCAGTATTGAATGAGATAGGCCCTTGGCCCAGCCTTTCATAACGGCAAGACCCAATTCACGCTTCCAAGGCGCGACCCCCCTCCCAAGCACTCAAAGCAGGGTGGGTGTCATGCGTCCGCTAGCCCAGGAAGCCTTGCGTAGGTTTCAGGACACTCGGGTCGCCGATTCGGAACATTTTCAATTTTTTTTGTCACTCAACCATGTATGGGTCAACCTGAAAATTGAAGTACTCGTAGATTTTGTTGTGGTCTTTCCAGGCAAAATATTGAATAAATTAAAAAAAATCATTCAAACTGTGCAATAGATCGCGGCCGCAATTTGACCCATATTTCCATTTTGCCATTCAGTCTCTCTCTGGTAGCCCCCCCCCTCTCCCTCTCTCTCTCTCTCTCTCTCTCTCTCTCTCTTTCTTTCTTTCTCAGACTCTCTATCTCTCTCTTT